GTGGGGACTTAAACCTGAATACACACAGACTCATAGGGACTCGTGCCACGATGGGGACCTAACTTGAGGTCCCCATGGGTACAAAAGCTTATAAATCATACAGAATTAGTTTTTTTTTTGAGAAAGTAAAAATGCAGAAAGTTTCCTGTGAGGGGTAGGGTTGGTGTAGGGCAATAGAAAATACAGTTTGTACAGTAGAAAAAACATTATGCCTATGGAGCGTCCCCACAAGGATAGCTGACCAGACATGTGTGTGTGTGTGTGTGTGTATATACCTGGTGTTTATCACATTATGGGGACTAAATGTCCCCACAAGGTGCAAATTTACTGGTATTACTATCCTTGTGGGGACATTTTGTCCCCATAATGTGATAAACACCAGGTACACACACACACACACACATTGTTTAGGTCACCATGAGGAAACAAGTTTATAAATCCTACAGAATGAAGTTTTTTGAAAATCTAATGCAGAAAGTGTCCTGTTTAGATGTAGGATAGAAAATACAGTTTGTACAGAATAAAAACCATTATGCCTATGGAGAGTCCACGTAAAAAAATAGAAACACTGTGTGTGTGTTTGTGTGTGTGTGTAAAACCTGACATTTTTGACACGAGGAAAAAGATGATTAAAAGTAGTAAATGATGTTTATCTGAAAGTGTTACAGTGCAGACAGGTTTTCTGTAAGGGGTAGGTTTAGGGTTAGGGTATAGAAATATCGTTTGGTTAGTACCATAGACTATAAAAACAGGTTAGTACAAAAGTAATAGAAGTCTATGGAAAATCCCCACAATTCACAGAAACAAACATGTCTGTGCGTGCGTCTGTCTGTGCGTGTGTGTGTCTGTCTGTCTGTCTGTGCGTCTGTCTGTGCGTGCGTCTGTCTGTGCGTGCGTCTGTCTGTCTGTGCGTGTGTGCGTCTGTCTGTGTGTGCGTCTGTCTGTGCGTGCGTCTGTCTGTCTGTGCGTGCGTCTGTCTGTCTGTGTGCGCGTCTGTCTGTGCGTCTGTCTGTGCGTGCGTGCGTCTGTCTGTGCGTGCGTGTGTCTGTGCGTGCGTGTGTCTGTGCGTGCGTCTGTCTGTGCGTGCGTCTGTCTGTGCGTGCGTCTGTCTGTCTGTGCGTGTGTCTGTGTGTGTGTTGCAGATCGAGGAGATCGAGGCGCTGTCCTCCATCTACGCGGAGGAGTGGTGTGTGATCGATGAAGCGGCCAGAGTTTTCTGCATCAGAGTCTCGGATGACTCGCAGCGGCCCAGACTAACGCTCTGTTTACAGGTGTGACGTGTGAGAGTCGCAGATCAGACTTATGAATGTGCTAAACGTGACCCTGGAGCACAAAACCAGCCAAAAGGGTCAATTTTTCCCAAACTGAGATTTATACATCATCTGAAAGCTGAATAAGTAAGCTTTCCATTGATGTATGGTTTGTTAGGAGAGGACAATATTTGGCCGAGATACAACTATTTGAAAATCTGGAATCTGAGGGTGCAAAAAAATCTAAATATTGAAAAAATCAAATAATCATCTTTAAAGTTGTCCAAATGAAGTTCTTAGCCATGCATATTACTAATCAAAAATTAAGTTTTGATATATTTACGGTAGGAAATGTACAAAATATCTTCATGGAGCATGATCTTTACTTAATATCCAAATTTTTGGCATAAAAGAAAACCATACAATTGGCTATTGCTACAAATATACCGGTGCTGCTTATGACTGCCTTTGTGCTCCAGGGTCACACGTGTGTTTATGAATGTTTAATGTGTGTTTCTGTTTGTTTGAAGATCATACTTCCTCCAGAGTACCCGAGCTCAGCGCCTCCGATATATCAGATCAAGTAACGTTACGTCTGATTGCTTGCCGTTTGAGTTTTGTGTTGGGAACTGAATACGATGTGTGATTGACATGTTGTTTTTGTCCTGACAGCGCTGGCTGGCTCAGAGGAGCGGACCGAAGGACTCTGTCCAACAGTTTAGAGGAGCTGTATGTGTGAGTATGTGTGTCAGTGTGGCGTGAGTCTGCAGAGACTGCATGTAGAGCGTCATAACCGTGCACGTCACGTGTTATGAAAAACAAAATGTATTCAGTATAATTTGAGCCTTTTATTCTATCACATTATCTGTTATATATAGGGAGAATACAGGGGAGAGTATTCTGTACCTGTGGGTGGAGAAAATAAGAGAATTCCTCGCAGAAAAATCACAAAGTGCAGGTAAGAACTAATGCCGCTTGTGCTGAGTCAGCCTGAACTTTAGTTATCGTTATTGTAATTTCTCAATAATAATCAGTTGGTAATGAAAGTGGCTTTGCGGAATTAATAACTGTGCTGAAATGGGGTTGTACAGTAGGGGGCAGTAGATGAAATGTGATGTGAGAGGCTCAAATCAGTCTTTATTATGCAGGACTGATGCATATCTAGGGACTGTATAAATAGGGTGAGAAATGAGATGAAGTCGGTATTCTGTTCACAAATACACGTGAAGCATTAGACTTACCTGTTGCACGAACAGCTCATACGACCCATACACAAGGCGTTATTGCTTAATCTTAAAACCAGACAAGGAGAGGTCCACTAAAGTTGCGTCTTCTCATTACAGACACAGACTGCGGAGCGTTTGTGCTTTTGGATTTTGTCACAGCACCAGACGCTCCTTCTGTGAAATAATTGCCCTCTGTTTTAAAGCCCCACTAGGGTTTTGTTGTGTTGTTTTGAGCGCCACGCTGGAAGCACGCTCATTTTTGTGTAAAGTGAACTCTGGAAAGCGAGAGAATTAGAGTCAGGAGGGGAATCACGCTGTCATTTATTCCCTCCGGCTTTGAAGGAACTCGGCGTTCCACCGGCAGGTAATATAAAGAAGAAGAAAAAAAGCATAGGTGCTTGACATAGAGAAATCAAGCAAATGTTCGGGTCTGTGGTTTCATCAGCCCTTTGAAAAGAATAGGAGGCATACGGCATTCTCTGCGGAAGTATACAGGAAGGAGGCACAATTGAAACGGGTGCACGGGGCCTGCCGGCAATCAGGTACACGGCCTGTCATTAACCTAGAAGTAATAGACCCTTCAGCTCACGGAAAGCAGCCTCTTTTGATTGTTCGAAACTGGTAGGTGGAGAGCAGCATCTCAATAACCAAGGAAGTAATAAAAACTCGGCATAATCACGCTGTAAATGCTGGCAGAGTCAAGAGATTGTGGGGTGCAGATAAATATGCAGTTACAGTGCGTTGAAAAATATGGCTTGGATTGCATTTTTTTAGAAAACATTCATGCATTTAGCTGACGCTTTTATCAAAAGCAGTTTCCAAATGGGAATATACAAAGCATTTTATCATGTGTATATATAAAAAGATATATTTAGAAAAATGTAGCGGTGTTTTTTTAATCCATATAATGACAGTCAATGGGGTCCGAAGTCGTTTGGTTCCCAACATTCAACAAAATATCTAGCTGGCGCTTTTAGCTAAATTAGCTTCCAAATGGGAATATCCCAAGCAATTTATCATATATCGCAAAAGACGATATTTTGAAATATGTTCAAGCGTGTATTCCATCCATACAATGAAAGTCAGTGGTCAAAACCAGTTTCCAAATGAAAATATCCCAAACAATTTATCATAAATCACAAAAAAGAAAGAAAAATGTTTATTTATTTTGTCAATACAATGAAATTCAATGGGGTCAAAAGTTGTTTCCCAACGTTCTACAAAATACCTATATGGTGCTTTTATCAAAATTGGCTTCCAAATGGGAATATCCCAAGTAGGGCTGGACTATTTATCGAAAAGAAATTGAAAACAAAATTCTGAACCTCTAACCGACATAATTTTTCGATGTCAGTTATTGAATTTTTTTTTAATCCTGTTAATTCTTTCCCCTTAAAAACATACTACCGTGTGTGTAGTCAGCACTCTACGGACGTGTATGATTGTTGCACTTGAGTCTTTTGCAGCGTTTCGCACGTGAGTGGCGCGTTAAATAATTTAAACTTTTACACGCAGTAGAGCCACTCATCAATGTCAGTTCCAAAACAGTGGACCAATCAGAAGAATCCGGGGGCTTTTGTTTACAGTAGTAGGTTGGTATGGTAACTTTTTGCTTTTGCGATACGCCTTTTTAAAAGCCGTTTCCCATGACGATATTTAAAATGTATTTTGTTTGCAAGAAATACTGGATATGTTCTACTATTGACATGGTGATATTCATTTATTTTGTTTGTAAAAAAAAAAAAAAAAAAAAAAGGATTTATTTTCTATTTTTCCCCCAAAAAAATTTTTTGCAAAAAAACTGAAATTAAATTTTTTTTCATAAGACATCTTCATTTCAAGCAAGCTTTGATTTCAGATGTTCGAAATATTTAATAAATAACCATAAATAGATTGTTTCCTGTTGATAAGAAATGCACTCTTTCATTACGAAAAAAAAATCCCACGTTTAATAGTTGAGTATATTTACAGTACAAACCTTTAATGAACCATGAGGGCAAAAAAATAAAAATACAATAAGCGTTCAATAAGCGTAATCAAGGTAAAGTGTTCAATTAATGGAGGTTTAGGTTTTAGGTCATACTGTCCAGCCCTAAACCCAAGCAATTTATCATATATCACAAAAGAAGATATTTTGAATATTTTGAAGTGTTTATCCCATTAATATAATGAAAGTCAATGGGGTCCAAAGTCGATTGGTTCCTAACGTTCTACAAAATATAGCTTGCACATTTATCAAAATCAGCTTCCAAATGGGGATATCCAAAGCAGTTTATCACATATCACAAAAAAAGCTATTCTGACACATGTCACCGTGTTTATTCTGTTCATACAATAAAAGTCGATGGGTTCCAGAGTCATTCAGTTCCCAATGCTCTACAAAACATCTTACAAAGGTCATACTGGTTTGGAATGACTTGACAAACAAATTTTGAAGGTTAAACTGTGGTTGTGGTTGTAAATACTTGTGCCAACATCAGGTTACTTTTACGTTTATGCATTTGGTAGATGCTTTTTATTAAATGCATTCAATGTACACATTCTATCAGTTCTTGCTTTCCTTGAGAATCGAACCCATGACCTTGTTATTGTTAGCTTCATAGTCTACTTGTTTGAGCTACAGGAAGGTTCACTTCAGTGTGCTATAGTCATGATAAAAATAACCCTGTAGATACCGAGTGGGCGGTTGACAGGACCTCAGCACCTGACAGGATAATATCCCATGAGTCAGTACCAACAAGTCCAATCTCTGGATGGCAAGTTTCTACGTTCACACTTTTCCCTGCATATTGAAATTCTTGTGAATCGCCACACGATGCAAAATGTTGGGATGCTTTTCATTTGAGTAGCCCTGTCGCTCGTTCCCGTGTCATTTCTCCTCATTGTCCGCCTCAAATCTCTCTTGCCTTTGAACATAATGTTTGCCATAATTATTGCACGCCGGATATTGGATCCATGCCTTTGATCTAGCCATCTCAATAAAGTCGAATTGTTTGGATAAAATGAACACAGCAGCCTGCCGCGGCGAAGGTAGATGGTTTTTTTAAGACCACTCCTTCTCCCTCCTCTCACAGACCTCGGCGTTGGGGAGATCTATTCGTAATCGATGAAAAGACTTGTGCTGCCTTGACAGAACCTGTTAATATTTTTCACCAGGGCTCTAAAAGTTCCCATGAGGTCAGTGGCAAGTCCAAGAAGTGATCCTGATGGGTTTTGACACTCAGCTCGTTTGCTCGGCTCTTCTTGGAAGGGGGAGAAAATCTTTTATTTTTAAACCTTTTTAAAGGAGGGAATTTGCTTTGTTAGCTTGGGTCGATAACACTTTTTTTTTTTCTTTTCCCCCAAGTACAGTTAATCTGAGTGTAGAGATGTTTATCTGTTGCATAAATGTGCTGTAGGCATTTTTCTGCCACATAAAATGTCCCTATTACCCGGAAGCTCACAAGGTGTCCTGAGAAATCACACTCCATGACAGCCGCTGATTCCTTAAAGCGCAAAAGAAGAATCTTGCTGAGTGCTGGCTGTGCTTTTTATTTTTGGCTCAATCAAAAATGTGTAGGTAGTGGATTCCTGTCAATCATTTTTGCATGTTGGAGATTGGCTTATTTGGTTAGGAGGGAGACATTTTGAGAGGAGGCCAAGTCTGCAAGTGGTGAGCTTTTTTTTTCTTTTTACACATAATTTATCTGCATCCTGCTCGTAAGCATTTTACAGTATATCTGCATATTTCCTGTTGTTTGTCAGTTCCATGATCTCCCATCATATAGGAACATCTCATTAGTATCCCATAAAAAGCTCATAGTTGCAACGTTTAAGCATTTGATTTGTAGCTCTGTCTGCAAGTAACGTGCTACAATAGAAACTAATTACCCATTGGTGGTATAGATGCAAAAAATTATTGCAATCTACAAATAACGTCACCTGGTTATCAATTTTAAGTGTTACTTGTTACTTGTTGTTCCATACTAGTATGAGCAGTATGCATTTTAATCTAGGCTTATCACTGGTTAACGGTCAGACGATAGTCCACTGCCGTACGAATCCTTAAAAGCTATTGTTTTTGAAGGACAGCTCTCCCACGCCTTTCGCTGAATGTGATAATTGCGACTGAAATTATGTATGTATGTCAACGGTTTTAATATGCAAATGAGTTTCCATGAATGGCGCGCTCAAGAGGGAAATGGAGCTCCAACTGAATGGAGGGGAAAAAATGGAAATGGGCGCGTGACTAGCTGTCCTGTTCGTTAGCCAAGTCCCATTAATTATTTTAAGTCTCGCCTTGCCACGAGGTCTTCGTAAGGTGCCACACTCCATAAACTCAGATGTAGAAAGAAGGACACTCAATTACAGGCGTGTGGGTTGGCGAACGTATCAGATCTTGCTTCATTAGAACCCTTTAATAGAAACAAAATTACATGTTTGTAGACGTAACACAGTTCGAGTGATACGTCTTGAAGAAGTGCAGCTTTACTGGCAAATGGTTCAAGGTGACAAAATTAAATGATGGTAATCAGGGATGTAATCACAGTGCTAAACAGACCTTCTGATTTGACCTTCACCCATCAGTAAGCATTCTGCACGTTGAGTCTTGACATCCTATAAAGACACCTGGATACACGAGACGCATCCCTGCTGACAAAATCAATCTGGAGATGCAGTGCAGACGGTGATCCACTGCAAGAGCACCTACTAGAAACCATGAAACTGTGTGACCTCAGGCAGTTTAATTGCTGCATGAATGCAGGATATTGCTGGTCTAAAGCCATTTTTCTTTACACTTTCATTGTTGTTGTTGGTTAAAGGATAAGTTTACCAATTTTCAACCAGCTTTGTATTGTAACAATGTCTGTAGTAGAGGAAAAATGAACTGTGTCGTCTTTCTCCTGCACCCAGATATCAGTGTTTATTTGTCAGCAGAAGTCTGTAGGATGCAAAAAGCATAATTTGGATCGACTTCTTGAGGAGAAACAGGATATGATGTTGCTAAATAATGAGTTTTTACATCGATCTGTTTTTCCACATGTGTCATTATTCTCTTCATTAGGCCGTTGTAGGAGTCATTACACTGCAGGGCCGTGACACCATCAGAAATTTGTTGGAGGCCTGTGATTTCCAAAATCTGTCTCAGGTGACAATTGTGGCCTGAATTTTATGTACCTGGCTTAAGTTAGGTTAGCTCGTCGTTCGGAGTAACCAGTGCCCAGAAACCCTCTAAAAACAATAGCTGCCTAACTAGACACCAGCTAGCCACCGTAAATAGTTTTTTGGGAGGGATTTTACACGGGTCCCATGAATTCAATTTCTGATGTAACTAGTGTGTGCAGATTTAAAAAGATTTGTCAAAGAACCTGCATTCAGCATGTCAAGCAAATTGGAAGCAATTGACGACAGCGACCTTGTGTTGTTTACTACACCGTTCATTTAACTCTCAATCTCGAGATCACGACTTCGACAGGTTGCCCTTGTCCTACAGAGAATCTGTCTTTTGAATGATTCATTAGTGTTTTGAAGAAACGAACGCCAAAGTTAAATCAAGCCCTTGATTACCTGTTTTGAACATCTGTTTCGTTCAAACTTGATTTCCTTTGTTTTCAAATGAACGTTTCGGCTTTGACGACTCCGTGTGCATTTCCGAAACCCCATTGTTTCGCTGTGATGTGCTCAGTGTGCGTGCAGTTGTTTCTTTTTTGTAGTGTGAATATTACATTAGCGATGCTAATTTGTTCCCCCCACACGTTTTGGTAAACAAACAGGCCTAAATACACCCGGCTCCCAATACACGGCTCTCGTGCTTGACGGTGACGTCACTTCGGAAGAAGTAACTTAATCTAATATCAAACTTCAGAGGGATGGTAATTAGCGTCTTCCCTCATCAACTGAATGATTACAGGCCTAATACTCGACGGTGTCATGAAAAGTAATTATTCAGATGAGATGCTAGTTACAGCAGGTTGTGCGGTGAAGGCCCCTCAGAGAGATCAAAAGGTTGTGTTTTTATATATATTTCCGCGGGGCATGAATATTCACGTCTGACACTGAAAGGTGGGGGTGGTTGAGGAGAAATGGAAAGCAGTCAAAGGTCGTTAAAGCTTTGGAACCAGTTAAATTTTGACGAGCTATAATTAAATTCCCATATTGATTTGCCTCAGATTTACTGAACTAAACGGGGAAGAAAATCCAAGCGCACCTCAGCAGTTTCAGAGGTATTTTCTGATGAGATCCCTCAGGTGTTTGTTTAAAGATGAGCTTGAGGTTAATTTTGTGGTCAGAAGGGTTGTAATATGTGCTTAACTATACTGACCAGGTTATGGCAACAGTCATGAAAACCTGCAAGTGTTAGGGAATTTAAAATGTGTGGTTTCCAGACATGGAATAGTCATTGAAATCCTTGAAGTCACTGAAATTTCAAGGTACTTGGGAACCCCGAAAACCAATTCTCCCATTGAGATGTGTTCAGATCTCAGGATGTTTTTGACATTTGTACGTTGACATTTAATTGCAACCACTTGAACTTTCAGAAAGTGGTCTACTTCCCACATTTCGGTGCATAGCAAGATATTTTAAAGAGGTTTATTTGGTTTGATGTAGAACGTCAGCATTATGATCAAGCAGAAATCTCTGCCAACCGTCACATAATGCAATTAATATTCATTATCCGAGCCACATCTGGCACAGAGTTTGTGTGCTGAACAAACTTACTGAGGACACAAGATGTGAACAACAGAGAAGTCTTCAGCAAAAATAAGCACTTTTTTAAATTCACAAAGCTTTAGGTCTAATCATTGAACTTGGCGTTTAAGCTTTCAAATAGTGTCTCATATGAATGTCAGCTAGGCATTTAAAACCATATCGTGCTTCTGAAGAGAGGCTGATGAGATTTATAATGTCTTCCCTCCCACTTTTCCCATTGTTCCGACGCCCCTGATGCCAAGACCTAGTACCTGACAGGGCATACAAATGAAAATCATCCCTAGCGATCTCTGAAAAGGGATTTGGAAACTTGTTGAGCCTCTATGACCATGGAAATGAGGATGTCAAGGAGATTCCTTGGTGGAATGTGTGGGAAAGCTGTTTTTATCACTGAATATTAATGCCGTACTTCAGAACAGCTGGAACGGCTGATTGCGACTTAATTTAGTTCTCATTTAGTTTCTCGTTTCAAGATTCCAAATGACATATGGAAAACGACTGCCAGTGATTTGAGTGCGAATGTGTCGTCTTTAGCGTATACTCTTAAAAATAGGTCCCAGAAAGGGGTATTTGCAGTGATGCCATAGAATAACCATTTTGGGTTCCCAAAGAACCTTGCAGTGAACAATTCTTAAAAGAACCATTTTGAAGAACATATTAATAATCTAAATAACCTTTTTCCATTATATATATTTATATATATATATATATACATATATAAAAAACTTTGTCCAATGGAGAGTTTCCATGGGCGTTAAATGTTCTCCATTGAACCACAGATGCCAATAAAGAGCCTTTTGTTGCATTCAGTTTACATTCAACTGCTGTTGTTTAATGAATGATACTCTTTGAGATGTTTCCATGCATTATTTATCTTAGTTGCTTTGAAATCTTGATGGAAGTGCACTTTGACCCTTCAAATTATATTGTGGGGTGAAACAGTGCAAGTATGTGTTGTTTCAAAAGAGACGTTAAGGACTATTTGCATTCAAGTATGTTTGATCAATTAAAGAAACTTGTGGGAGAATGTCACTGACCTTTCTTTATTTACATCTTGAGCACTGTTTATTTGAATCATTATATATAATTTAATAGAGTAAAATGCCTTGCATATTGCATTGCATGTCCTTGGCGTCCTTGCTGATTGACTGAAATGTGCAATGGTCTGTAAAATTATTAGTTTTCACCACAGTGCATTGCCCTGCGCATGTATCTGTGTTTTTAGATGGACCAGAAATGGGTAAGACGGTGACAACAGAGGAAGAAGCTCATGACTACGACGAGGACGATCTTCCAGACTACAGCATGCTAAAACTCGCCAACCAATCAGCTCAGCTCCTCTCCAGTGCTTTTGATGGTATGTTCCAATATATTGACATTCATTTCCATACTCCAAAGGAATTCCTAAAGAGAGAAACACTGGGTCTTAATTACTAATAATTGCTTGTAGGGATGCACCGATACCACTTTTTCCAGAACGAGACCGATATTTTTGGTACTTGCCGATACCGAGTACTGATACCTGTATTTTCATTGCATTTGTAATTTTTTTAAATATTGGGTACAGAAGTGACGTGACATGTGGCCAAGTATGGTGATCCATACTCGGAATTAGTGCTCTGCATTTACCCATCCAAAGTGCACACACAGCAGTGAACACACACACACCGTGAACACACACCCGGAGCAGTGGGCAGCCATTTTTTGCTGCGGCGCCCGGGGAGCAGTTGGGGGTTCGGTGCCTTGCTCAAGGGCACCTCAGTCGTGGTATTGAAGGTGGGAGAGAGTGCTGTACATTCACTCCCCCCACCTACAATCCCTGCCGGTACGAGACTTGAACCCGCAACCTTTGGGTTACGAGTCCGATTCTCTAACCATTAGGCCACGACTTCCTGTGTGGCCGACAGAATATGTATAATGTTAGTTAGCACACGTTTGTGTTGGTGCAGAATGAGAGGGACATGTATAGTCTAGCGCATTTCACACAGGCTAGATTCGCTTTAGCCATAAAAGTCGTGTATGCTTGACATTTAAAATAAATGTTGTTTATAGTTAATGCCCCAATATTACCAGTATACCACTGGTACCAGATGCACTGATACCAGTATCGGTATCAGTGCATCCCTAATTACGTGGATTATCTTGTATTTGTACGCACAGGACAACGTCTTGCAAAACTTGAACTCGATGAATTTGGAGTATTCTAAATGAGCAACTGCATGCCCAAGGTTTAAGAAAAAATCTTGATTTTTATGGCCTTTCGTCAGTCTCCACAAACATATGATACTCTCTAAAGACCAGTCTCATGACTCAAGCATGTGCTTGCTGTGTACGTATGGTTTCATACATTTTTCCGTAAATTTTGAATGCATTTTAGTGTGAAAGTTAATGGTGAAGCATGATTTGTTCGCGAAAACATTAATGCACAGATTTCAGTGTATGCGTATATTTGGGCCCTCTGGCTACCAGTATGATTACATGTGTTTATAGCGCTCAATAATGGCCAAACCATCCTATTTTGGGGTAAAATTGGAAAAATAATTTTTTCCAGTGTACAGAAGTTTACAGGAGTTTTTTGTTGTTAATTTGTTGCAAAAAACACTTTGATGTGCCAAGCCATCAGAACCGAAAACCGTGGTTAAAAACCGAGGTATGTATTGAACCGTGAGCTAGCCGTATTGTTGCATCCCTAGCGTATACATGCTTAGTAAATGAGACCCATTGTCCGTGACTCGTTTTATTTTATCAACACGAAATAGTTTAGATCATGAAAAGTGGGAAGTTCTGCAAGCACTTGAGCTTTGAGAAAGTAAAGTGTCAGGTCAGGTTCAAAGTACCGATGACAGGCACATCTTGTGTAAAGCGATCCCAGTTAATTAGTCATTAGTGGCTCGCCAGTCATTCAAAGGACTGCTTTTATTTGCTTTTGTTGTTTGTTTTTTGTTGTAGATGAAGAGTTGCCACTGATTAAACACGGGGAGACAATCACGGATAGACGGAGCACGTTCCAGCCTCATTTAGCCGCGGTGGTGACTCCTAAACAGGTGTGAGTCATTACCCATGTTCCCTGAATCAGACTCTGTGTGCCAACTAAACCATTTTTTGCCAAAGATATCAGGCCTGCAGAATCTGTGTTTAATAACAGCCGTCATTGTTTCGCATATCAGCGCTTGACACCGTTTTTGAAACGCCGATCACTCCGGTCTCTAGTGCCCTCAGGGCTCGCTTTCGTCTCTTTTTAACTTCTGGAGTTCACTGTCGAGTCCCTCCCCCGTGTGTCAAACAGACTCTTGACGTGTCTGGAAGTATCGGCGTTCACCGTGCCCAGCTGGATGTATGGTGTATGACTCATGCACACCTGCCTCTGACGCCACGGCTCTTGCCACATTATTACAGGCTGCATCTAAACCTCTCTTCCCCAAACTTCATTGTCTTCCACATTCCACGTCGCGGTCGTTTTTAATGAAAATTGGCTGCACAGGTGTCGGCATTGTGCATCAGTTACAACACGCTTGATACTGCGAATGTTGCGCGACAGAAGAGCAGCCGTCTTGAATGACACTCTGCCCTTAAGTAAGACGTTGACATTTCCACCACTTGTTCATACATAAACCAATTTCCTTTGTGTGATTGACAGTTTGAAGCCAAACGCTGACTATTTACGTGTTCAGCCTTCCGCCGGCTTTATATGAAAGCAAATGCATTTGTGAAGCACACAGTGGGTTTATGAACCCATATAGCTGGTGTTTTTAAGTGCTGGAGTGTTTATTGAACTGCTAAATAGAGGTAGATGTGTTTACGTTTTGGCTACTTTGTAATTCTGGGTGGTTGCTAGGACGGTGCGATGTGGTTACTAGGGGGTTCCGGGTGTTTTTAAGCATGTTGCTGTGCATTTACTAGGGCATTCTGGGTGGTTTTTAGTAAGTTGCTATGCAGTTACTGAGGTGGGTTTTTTTTTTTTTGCATGTTGCTATGCAGTTACTAGGGTGTTCTGGGTGAATTTTTTTAGTGCTTTGCTATGCAGTTACTGGGGTATTGTTTTTTTTCTTTCTTTTTTTGCATGTTGCTATGCAGTTACTAGGGTGTTTTTTAGTAGTTGCTATGAAGTTATTCTGGGGTATTGTTTTTTTTATATGTTGCTATGCAGTTGCTAGGGTGTTCTGGGTGTTTTTTTATACGTTGCTATGCAGTTGCTAGGGTGTTCTGGGTGTTTTTTTATACATTGCTATGCAGTTGCTAGGGTGTTCTGGGTGTTTTTTTTATATGTTGCTATGTAGTTACTAGGGTGTTCTGGGTGAATTTTTTTAGTAAGTTGCTATGCAGTTACTGGGGTATTGTTGTTTTTTTTTTCTTTTTTTGCATGTTCCAATGCAGTTACTAGGGTGTTTTGGGTGTTTTTTAGTAGTTGCTATGAAGTTATTCTGGGATATTGTTTTTTTATATGTTGCTATGCAGTTACTAGGGTGTTCTGGGTGTTTTTTAGTAAGTTGCTATGCAGTTATACTGGGGTATTGTTTTTTATATGTTGTTATGCAGTTGCTAGGGTGTTTAGGGTGGTTTTAATAATTGCTATGCAGTTACTATGTTTTTTTTTTTTGCATGTTGCTAGGGTGTCCTGGGTGTTTTTTAGCTTGTTGCTATACAGTTACTTGGGTTAAAGGTACTTTTAAAGGTGCTTTTTCCATTAAAGTGAATTTAAAACTGATCAATCACTCAGTGCTGCGTAGCTGGGCTAGTCAAGATATTTTTTTTATGAATATTCAAACTTTTCTGCTTACTCCATTTGAGCATTTAGAGCACAAAACAACAATTGTTTTTACTGCTTAACCCTTATTTTACACTTTGAGGAAATCAGTCAGTGAATAACTTATTGTTCCCATTTAAAGTGAAGATGAAACATGTACCTTACAGTTCTTGAAAATGTCTTTTTGCTGAATAGAGTGGCATGAGGCGTAATTATGTCTCAATATCAAGTTAATCTGTCACACCGTATTTTGTTCACATTGTAAGTGTGGTGAGCACTGAATCTTGTTATTTTCTTTAATGCCGTGTCTTTATGCGCAGGTGTGTTTAAAGCATTTGCAGTTACGAACATGAGATGATTTTCATTATAATACAGCTAATGCAAATGAGGAGCTTTATAAAAACTAGTTTGAAATCCCCCAGACAAGTGAGGAATTAAATTACAGTTCTTTGGTTAAATTAGACAGACCGAGTGCTTGATTAACGCCATCTGCTGTAGATGTTCACTCTTTAAAATTAATTCTGATGGAAGTGCATTTAATATAATTTTTTCTCTTATTTCTTTATTTCCTCTTTGTCTTTTTCTGATTAGCGTTTTCCATTATCTTTGCCTCTCAGGGCTCCAAAATGGATGTTGTTATTCATGTGGCTAGCTTTAAAATTAGCTTCATCCGTGCCGTAACTTTACTAAAGTCTGGAATACACTACACAAGTTTTGCACCATTTTACAGTCTGGACAATTCACTATTAGTTGATAAGTCAGAGCTAGTCAGCAGATTTATTAGAAAATCGCATAGTGTATGATGAGCAGAAACTTGGATTGTTTAGCGTCAGACTCTGACTCTATCCAGTCCAATTCATCAAACATGTTTGATATTTTGAGCCGATTTTAAAGGGGTCATATGGTGTTGCTAAAAAGAACATTATTTTGTGTATTTGGTGTAACGAAATGTGTTTATGCGGTTTAAGGTTAAAAAAACATATTATTTTCCACATACTGTACATTATTGTTTCTCCTCTATGCCCCGCCTTTCTGAAACGCGTCGATTTTTACAAAGCTCATCGGTCTGAAAAGCGAGGTGTGCTCTGATTGGCCA